TTTACTTCATGGCTAAATTAGTAGTTGGTTGTTACACCTAAGTCCGACCAAAAGATTGAGCTACCTATGACCAAAAATATCTATAGGTAGCTCAATCACGCACGCACACGCACACACACACAGACACAAATATAGGGGAAGTTGCTGTTGGGAAAAGTGTGTCTGTTTGAAAAGTTTAGTTGTGCATCAGTTGTGTTGCAACTATTTATGAAAAAGAAAAAAATTTACTCATATATATTTGTGCTATTTATAAGATAATTGTTACAAGATTAATAACTTATACATGTAAACATAAAATACATTTAGAAATCTCAAAAACTCACAATTTCAAATATTACATCTAAAAATTATATCCCACTGAACTGTCGACAACACAACAATCAAAATAAAAAAATAGACGTACAAGAGCATCAAATAATATTATTACAATATTAATTTGAAACTCCGAAGAATCAATCTTATGGGATAACTTTTTCTGTAAATATACTCTCTATGTCTGATCACTATATGAGGTAGACTCCTCAAACTGATTAACCCACATAAAGAAGTTGTTCTCGATTGATTTGTTTATTGAACACCTATGATTTTTTTTCCCCATAGCTACCCACTCTTCATGATGTAAGTAAACAACATTGTAATGCACAATTATAGTACAAGACTCTAGAAGCAACATAAAGTCCTCGAGCTTATATTTCCTAAAATGTGAAAATCTCAAATATAAAATGAGTTTTCATGGATAGTACAATGATAAAATTATAAGAAAAATTAAGTAATAACAATAATAAAAATGCAATTATAAAGATTTATAAAAAATGAGGTCTCGGAGCAAATATAAACTAATGAATAATCTGTCATTATAAGAAGACAAAAAATTTAAAGAAAGAAGATCTGCATTGTCTTTAACTATGTAATAACGAACTCGTATGTCACAATAGCATATTCGGCACCCTCTAGAAAAACTCTACATTCATTTGGCTAAAAAAGACTTGACACCAAAATCATATATGTCAAAAATTTACAGCAACATAAATGTCATTCAGAAGAGCACTTAAGGTCATAAATCCCATAATAGATCTCCTAACAAAAAAAAAACATGCAAAAAAAAAAGGAAGGATATCACAACCATAGTTGCCTAGGAGATCTTCAAGTGGGATAAATACATGCTGATTGAAAGAAAATAGATGACACAATAAATTATGCAACATTCCACATAAATATTGCTAAAGAAAGAGTTTACATAAAGAGTTTAATGATATGTCCTTATAATAACATACAAGCATCACACATTAACTAATGTGTTTATAAGTTACACTTGCAACTGAATCATATCTCCACCACCCACTCCATCTTGCATGCAAGCATCACCTATATCAGAATCGTTTGGTAATATTAACTCTTCAAAGCGAGACTCATGCTTAAAGAGGAACATTCAATTGATTTTCGTCAATATTAAAATCAATGTCAGATGTTGTTGGATGCCGACGAATATAATAATGAAAAGTCATTATTGCAGCCACAATCTTCACCCTTGAATGGATATGCATGCATGTCTCTAAGAATCACAAATTTCTTTTTTCATGCACCAAATGTTCTTTCAATGGCACATTGAGTGTCTCTTATTAAATATTTCTTTTCTTTTCTTTTTTGAAGTACATGATTAACACATTCAAAATCTGGGAGGTGATATCACGTGTCACGATATGACTTAAGAAACCAACTTTGTAAGGGATAATTCGCATCGACTAGTTAATATTTTCTATGTATAAAAAAAATTCACTTATACACATTAGCAAATAAGTTATAATTTTTTTGTTTAGTCGTGTCCTAAGCCCTTAATGTGAAAAATGAAGGGTTGTGTTAAGTACTCAACAACCATTGTAAAATTTTTTGTTGAAAATTTCATGACATGTTTAAATTATTGGTAAATATTATGGTGCCCCCTAAAAGCGATGCTTTTTAGTGCCTGGATACAATGAAAAGTGTGCAGGGGTTGTTGTACAGATGCTTGTGTGTAGTGTTAAATAAACAAGAGTTCTAACATTTTGGATTAATTCAGACAATTAAGTTAGCTTATGAAACTAATATTAGAATATGATCTTGAATATCAGTGCTTTCATAGATAAATTAATGTAATTAATATATATTTTGGTTCATAAGAATATATATATTTTGTGTATTCAAGAGACTAAATAGGTTGGAGAAAATACTAAGGAGATCGATAGCTTAAATTTTAAACTTTAGTATTCAGGTATGATTTAACACTTGAAATGATGTAGATGTAATTATTGATAAGTTTAAACTATAATATTATAAAAAATTAATAGAATTGGAAATATCATTATAGGTCTAATGATTGTTATTGATGCTACGATTTTTGATGTTATAAGTACTTATACTCCTCAAGTAGGTTTATATATAAGTTTAAAAGAAAAATTTTGGAATGACATAGAAACATTAATACAAATGATACTTCTTGAAGCAAGAATTTTATAGGAGGAGATTTAAATAAACATGTTGTTAGGGTGGTAGAAGATTTTAGAAATATTCATAGTGATTGATTTTGGAGTAATTAATGAAGAAGTTAAAATCATATTAGATTTTTCTTTAGCTTATGATTTTGTTATTATTTATATTTTATTGAAGAAAAGAGATAAACATATTATTACTTATAAGAATTGATATAATAAAACACATTGATTATTTTCTTATGAGAAAAAGAAATCGTTGAGAATATAAATATTATAATGTCATTCTAAGTGAATTAAAGTACTCAACATCAATTATTAGTATGAATTTTTAGAGGAAGAGTTGTAAAATAAAAAATACAATGAAACATAATCATAAAATTAGATGAAGACATCTAAAAGACAAATGAAATTATTTTTATGAGTAAACATCAAGATTTCAAATTTAGGATGTTCATGAAAAACTAATTCTATGTAGGATAAATTAAGCAGCACTATTAAAAAGTGGCAAAAGATGTATTTGGAGAATCGAAAGGAAATTTTTTATAAATGAAAATAGTTGGCGGTGGAATAATAACGTGAAAAAAAAAAAGCTAAATTTAAGAAGTTTTATTATAAAAAATGGTTTAAATGTAAAAGCTTAGGGAACTGAAAAAATATAAGTTGACCGTAGAGAGTCTAATAAAATAATTTGTGATGCTAAGAATTTAACTCTTAGTGATTTTTATAATATATTAGATACTAAAGAGGATGAAAGATATATGTATAAACTATAGAAACAAAAAAAAAAGTATAAATTTAATTCATCTAATGTGTGTTAAAGATGAAAATAAAAAGTGTTTTTCCTATAAGAAGATATTCGATATAAGTGGGTGAGATATTTTGATAAAATTTTCAATGAAATTTTTAAAATATGTTCGACCTTCGAGAGTCTAATAAATAATTTGTGATGCTAAAAATTTAACTCTTAATGATTAGATACTAAAGATGGTGAAATATATATGTATAAACTATAGAAACAAAGAAAAAAAAATATAAATTTAATTCATGTTAAGTGTGTTAAAGATGAAAATAAAAAGTGTTTTTCCTATAAGAATATATTCAATATAAGTGGGTGAGTATTTTGATAAACTTTTCAATGAAATTTTTAAAATATGTTTGACCTTAATGATCTTAATATCATTATTACAAATAAAACATTTTTATGTTTACCACCGCATTAGTAAAAAGAAGTCAATAGAAAATCAGAGGTGGAAAATAAGTCGGACTTGATGGTATCCCATTAGAAGTGTGAAAATATTTCGGTGATTTAGGAGTTTCTTGGCTTACTAGACTTTTTAATATAATTTTAAAAACTAAAAAATGTCTGTGGAGTCAAATAAGAGTATTTTTGTCCTCATTTTTAATAATAAAAGAGATGAACAAGAGTGTACAAATTATAGAAGAATTAAGTTAATATATAATACATTACAATTATGGGAGTGAGTAATCGAACATTAGTTAAAATGTGATACAAAAATTTTTCATAACCAATTTGGATTTATGCCTGACAAGTCTACTATGAAAGTTATACATTTATTGAGAGGTCTGATGGAGAATTACAGAGAGAGTAAGGAGGATCTACATATGATTTTTATTGATTATGAAAAATATTATGATAAGATTCCAGAAGAAGTTTTTTGGAGAGTTTTAGAAAAGAAATGTGTTGATTTGACTTGTATTCAAGTCATTAAAGATACACATATTATAGCTATTGCTCGTGTTTGAATAGAAGAAGGATTGACAAAGTATTTTCCTATTTCAGTTGAATTACATTAGGGATCAACTACAAGCCCATATCCTTTTACTTTAGTTATGATGCTCTTACTGGACATTTACAAAAGGATGTACTTTGTTGCATGCTTTTTGCTGATAATACCCTTATTGTAAATAAGACTTGACAAAGAGTTGAGAAAAAACTTGGAAGTATGGAGGTCTTCAATAGAGTCCAAAGACCTTCGTTTGAGTAGATCTAAAACTGAATACATGGAATGTAATTTTAGTAGTAGTAGATCTAGTACAGAGTTGTAACAATGGGTGATCAAATCATTAGATGGGGTGAACGTATTAGATATCTCGAGTCTATTATTGAAAGTGGTAATGATATATATGGGAATGCTATTAGTGATCAAATCATTAGAAGGAGTGAACATATACGACATCATTTTTCTATAAAAATGTATAGGAATAATACTGCATTTAAGTTTTGGAAGATTTACACACACCACTCAATTCTTATGTATTTACATATCTAACACGTAAATTTCAATTTTTACATCTATGCCACCTTATCTATGCATGAAAAGGTGTATTTCAAATTTAGAGGTTAAAATGATGGTTTTTTTAGTATCAGTATTTTAGATGTGATATGAAAGATTTGGGTTGGACAAATTTAGAAAAATCAAATTTTAGATGTTAGATATGCAAATACATAAGAATTGATTGGTATGTATGTAAATTGCTGTAATGATGTGTGAGTTAATTTCTGATGCGCAGGAGTGGAGAAAGGTTCGAAGGAGCCCAAGTTGCAGAAAGTGGGGAAGGTAACTGTGGAGCAGGTCCGGACCATAGCTCAGGAGAAACTGCCTGATTTGAACTGTACAACCATTGAAGCTGCCATGAGAATCATTGCTGGTACTGCTGCTAATATGGGAATCGACATCGAGCCTCCGGTACTCGAGCCGAAGAAGAAGCAGCTCCTTCTATAGGTATTTAGCCTGGCAATTTTCACTTTTCATTTCATTACCTGTTCATGCTGTTTTTGTGACCTTCAATTATGAAACTTTATGTATCCTCTTCTGTTTATCAATTTTTTAAGGAAGAGTTACATACATGCCACTCAGTTCTTATGTATTTACATATCTAACACTTAAAATTTTAATTTTTTACATGCATACCACCTGACCTATGCATGATAAAATGTATTTACATATCTAACACCTTAATTATGGATGAAAATGCGTATTTCGACGTTTAGATAAAATGGTGATATTTTTGATATGATATGAAAGTTTTGGGTGGTATAAATGCAAAAAAGCAAAATTTATTTGTTAGATATGTAAATACACTGGAATTGGGTGACATGAAATTGTCCAATTTGACATTATATTAATATTTAGTAATAACATCTAAAAATCACCCCAACTAGAATAAAATATCATGTAATTAATCTTTATTATTCTATTTTCTAAATGTTCTCTTCTATTCTAATTTTTCACTCATTTAAGTAGGTTCTTATTAATTAGAGTTTTTAGTTAAAAGCCATTTGTGTCAGGAAGAACTTTGGAAGGAAAAATTATTGCGTATGGAGCTGCGTGCGCTCTCCGATCACAGCTGGATGTGCGGCTTGATCAGAGAGCGCACGTAGCTCTTCGTTCGCTCTCCGTACGCAATAAGCACTCCTTTGGAAGGTTCGTAAAGCAAAATCTTATTGTTTATATTTAGCCGCAGCTTTTATATGCAAAAATATTATTCATATCAATCTAAACATGACTTACTGAAAAATTGAATCAGAATATTCTAATTAAAATTTAATTAAGATATATTTCATTATTTAAATATATATATTTTGTTTTTCAAAATACATTCAAAACTCAATTCTGTGTTTACATATATAACACTTAAACTTTATTTTTTTACATTTGTACTCCAAATCTTCTATATCAAATAGAGAATATCATTATTTTATTTAGGGTTAGAAATGTAAATACATAAGAATTGGATGGTATTTATTGAAATTCTTGTCAAGCTCCAACTTCTTTTTAAGCTATCATTACAGACATAATTAGCGCTGTAAAAATAATCATTTAAATATTAAATCATTCATTTTTTTAAAATAAATATTATTTACATTATTCTATTTTGATCACGACATTCTCACCCTTTTATAACCAATTTACTACATTCTTCAATTTGTAACAAGAGGTCATGCCAAAGTTAGGTGCGTATGAAAGCAGAGCTTGGTTGGTGGAAGGAAAAAAAAATATTACATTTAGAGTCTTGATGCAAAAATGCGACAGGATTCCAATGAAACCCACTGAATACAAAAAACTCAATTTTTATGTATGATATATGACATGGTGTAATTTCATTGGAGTCTTGATGCAATTTTGCTTCAGGATTCTTGATGTAGTTGAAAGGGTTGAGACATGATTCTTGAAACAACTCCATGAAAATGAGATTTGGAACGGGGCAGATGCAGACCTTATCCATTATTATCAAGTGGTTCGACGAGCCAATAAATTGGCCGAGTTAAGTTCGAGCTTTAGGTCGTGTAATAATTTTAGATGGAGCTCAATATTGTGGTTTATTAGGCTCAAATTAATGAGATGATTGATGATTCGAGTTCAAGTAGGCTTACATGTCAAAAATTTTGTATTATTTTACATCGAAGTGGACATAATTAACACTATACTAAAGACCAACTAGATATTAATTGCTCCTAGTTTAAAATAAATAAAAAATAATTAGATCATTATTGGGAAGATTATTTTCATACCACTCAATTCGTATGTATTTAGGTATCTTGCACTCAAAATAGTAGTATTTTTTATATGATTTAAAAGATTTGGGTGGTATATATAAAGGCCCTATCTTTTTGGATGGTATAAATATAATAAAAAAATGTGCAGATGGTAAAGCTGTAAATACACAAGAATTGAGTGGCAGATACGTAAATGCCTCTGCAAGTAATTAATAGGTTTTCCTGCGTGTTCTCGCTCCCGCGCCCGCGCCATTTCAACTCCCTCTCTTCTGCCCGTTGCTACCTGAATCCCTAATGGCTTTGGTAAACTGCAATGTCAGCAGCACAAAGAGCAGTCTTCGTTCGGCAACTTCTTGATTTTCTCGGCCGGAGCCATTATTGCCTGCCTACGGGGTCGCATCTTCCGGCGAGGTGTCTTGGATGTCCGATGAGGAGGAAGAAGACGACTTCCCGATTCCGGGGAATGCCGTGGATCGATATTACAATACTTTTTTAATCAATCTATTGGTTGATGGTAAGTCCTATGTACTGGAAATATGGCTGGGAAATCTACAACGGCTTATAAGGTTGCGGTATGAAAGAGAAGACGATGATGAAGGAAATGGATGTGGCTCTGCGATCTAGCCCCAAACATGGAGCTGTTCAAACGAGCTTTCTGACATAAATAAAAGCAAGTGTTCAGAGCAGAGCGAGGGGAAACAAGATTTTGTTGATAATGTCAGAATCTGTAGTGGGTCTACACTTCTTACCGATCATTTTGGTTGTTTTAAGCTGAACGCTTTACAGGTTACCGCATCTTATCGATCTTACGTAGAGACGACTATCAGGAGTAGGGCTCCCACTTTTTTCAGGAACAAGTTAATTGACGCCATTTCTAGTCCTTTCAGTCAGAGTGAGTATGAGAATCTAATGGTGGTGGCCAGGAAGCGTAGTCCGCAAGTGAAACTGAAGCACCTCCGCAAGGACTCTATACCTTACAAAACAGAACTGTTGGGCTCTTCATATTTCGACTATTTTCCAGGCAAGAGTTTAGGATTAGTGCCATCTCAATGTTTTATGTGGTTGCTGTTGTTCTGTTATCGGATTGCTGCTAGAATACACCCTTTATAATTCTATATGCCCTGCCATTTTAAACTTTAGTGAGAGCTGTTGGATGTACCCTTGTGCTTGTATTAGAAATTGTCTGGTATATATATATATATATATTAAAGAATGGCCGGAGGCTATGATACGAACCACCAACCATCCTTATGTGCCTAACCACTTGATCCCGTACTGCAAGGCAGGTGCACTCAGGTGGGATCAAAGTGTTCCTAGGAGACTTACACAAGATTTCATTACCGAAGAGTCATGGCGAGCCACACACACACTCATTTTAACTCGTATCGCCTTAGATGGTTTGGTCACATTAAACGTCGATCATCTGATTTCCCTATTAGGACAGTAGTCTGGTATATATATATATATATATTAAAGAATGGCCGGAGGCTATGATAGGCGAGAAAATAAAACAAGAAAATTCACA